TGAGGAGATGAGGGGTTGCTCTCGCTGTGTCTTAATTCAGTCACTGCCACGGTGGATGAGAAATGTCCTTGCTGGGAGCAAGAATGGTACCTTTCCTCGTCGGAGTAGAAAGTGAGAGAAGAGATTCTCCATGAACAGTCCTGTCCTGGCTCCAGCCTCACCTCGCCTCGCCGCCCTACCTCCAGGGTCTGTGTGCACATGCGCTTGCCCTGCTCCCTCTATCCCATCTCAGCTCCTTTCAGTGTCCTGACTGTGCCCTGCCTTTCCTTACCCTGGGCCTCTGTTTACTCTTTTCTCTCTTCCTTCTTACTCCTTTCTCTCCATTCAGACTCCTAGTCATCCTTAAAGATGCAGCGCCATCATCACCACCTCTATAAAGCCTCTGCCTATCCTGGAATTGACTTTTTCTCCTCTGCCTCCTCTCTCTATGTACAGTGGTCTCCCATTATCCATGGGGGATATATTCCAAGACCCCCAGTGGATGCTTGAAACCATGGATAGCACCCAACTGTATATACCAAAATTTTTCCTATATACATACCTCTGATAAATTTTAATTTATAAATTAGGCACAATAAGAGATTAACAATAATAACTAATAATAAAGTCGGCTTTGGCACCATTATTAAGTAAAATAAGGGTGACTTGAACACAAGCACCACCATGCCACGACAGTGGATCCAGTAACCAAGATGGCTACCAAGTGACTAATGGGTGCCTGCTGTGTAGAGTGGGTCCCCTGCACAAGGGGATGATTCATGTCCCAGGTGGGACTGAGTGGGACCATATGAGATTTCGTCCCACTGCTCAGAACAGCATGTGATTTAAAACTTATGATTCTTTATTTCTGGAATTTTCTATTTAACATTTCCAACTTCGGTTGACTGAAGGAAACAGAAACCGTGCATACTGGGGGACTAGTGTACTGAGCATTGATCACTCGTGCTGCCTAAAAACTGCATTGTGCTTGCTTGTTTACACTTGTCTTTCAACTACAGAGGGAGCTCCTTGGGGGAGGCAGTCATGTTTTATTCATCTTTTAAATTCCGAGCTTGTAAAAGAGAACTTGGCACGCTTCTTATGTCTCAAAAAGAGAAGGGAAGGAGGGTTTGTATGAATGAATGTGAGTGTGCTTTTAAACTGCAAAGTGATAAACAAATGTGAGTTGTCGTAGTATCAGTGGCATCCCCAGTGTAACCCATGAAATGTGGAGGGCAGGTTTGGGGATGAACAGATGACTACTTTCTAGAAAAGGTGGAGGGATTGGAGAACCAGAAAAAGAGGCTTTCTCCAAAATAAAGACCAAAAATCTTACATAGGAGTTATAGCAAAGGGCTTGGAATTTGGAAGTGGTAACAACAGAAACTAGACCAAAAAGAGTAAACCATAAAACCACTAGGTAGAATTTTGAAATGTGAGCAAGAGACGTTAGGAACAGAACCTTTTTTGTTGTTTCTATGAGACTATCTACAAGAGAAAGAAGAGTGGAAGTGATATAAAGTATTGAGGCTTTCTGATTCTAAATAAATATCTTTTTTCTTCTTATGGTTTATCTTCATTATCCTGTTAAGCAGGTTATAATTTTTAGATGTTTTAAATGTTATTTTAGAGGAAAAAGGGAGATGGGGGGGCATTAACTTAATTCTTTCTGGGCACCTTAAAGAAATAAGGTGAGGGGCCAGCCCCATGACCTAGTAGTTAAGTTTGGAGCACTCCACTTTGGCGGCCAAGGTTCTGTTCCAAAGCCTGGACCTATACCACTCGTCAGCAGTCGTGCTGTGGTAGCAGCCCACATACAAGATAGAGAAAGACTGGCACAGATGTTAGCTCAGGGCCAATCCTCCTCAGCAAAAAAAAAAAAAAACCCAAAAATTAAAGAAATAAGGCAAGCTACCAAGGACATTGAATTTGAATTCTGTCCCAGTTCTGGCAGCATCTTTTCTCTGGTGTTTCTGCTGAGTGGTCATCTAGACCAGGACTTCTCAAACAGTCTGTGGTGAGGGAATGTGTGTGTGTGCACACGTGTGCCAATCAGTCACACACTAACACTTATGTAAAATATAATAAAAAATGAATTACTAGAAACATAAAAGAGAAGAAATCAGACATGCAAAATACAAGCATAATACAAATTAATCAGACATGCAAAATACAAATTTATCATTAGATTCAACAAACATCGTTCTGTCAAGTGCTGTAAAAGTTTCTACATGCTTGCTCTTGATTTCTGCACTTATCTTGGAGCCGATCAGTAACGAACAGTTTGCACACTGGCTCCTGCCCTTCTACCACACTTCACATAGCACCGAGTTAGGCTTCACTTGGATATTGTCAATAACTGCCATTATAAGGAATGAAAAAGTTAATGAGAAGAGGATACTCGTGTACACATCTTACAGTGGTGGAGATCTTAAGGACATAAACTGATTAAAAATACTTCAGGTGAAATTTCAAATAGTATAATAGAAAATTTTTCACGTGGTGCAAAGCTCTTTTCTCTCTCTTCCTTCCCCAACCCTCCCCAAAATACAGGGAATTCTTAGATCGTCTTGGAGAATAGTTGTTTTCAGTGCAAAAGTTTTAAATTGGTCCTTCATTGTTAACTGTGGGGTAGCCATAGGTGCTGACATCAAGCCAATAAAACTAATAAGCAGCGTGACAGGCTCTAATAAATTTCTCTGGTGCCTTTACTCTGTCATTTGAGCACAGAATGAACTGTTATTATCACTGAGCTGCCAACCTCTCATTTTGGTTTCAGATGATGACAGCTGTTAATGCAGGGCATGCTACAGTAGTTTTCAGTAACTGGGTTAGGGTTAAAGTATCGCATTTAAAAGACTTAATTATGATCAGTAGAGGGAACAATTTGTGGCCATAAGACTTTGATCTGTTTTCTAGAGTGGCCTACAAAAATGTGGACTCCTAACAATCTATTTTCTCAGCAATTTCAAAAAAGAAACAGCTTTTAAAATCTCGTTTCTCTACCATGGACTCTGGGGTTTTGAAACTCTTTCCTTTGGAGATGGGCCATCATTTGTTGGAAGTGGGCCAGGTCTCTGTCTCTAACCCCAGATGAAATTCTTCAAGCCCCTTAACTCAATCTTCCCCTCACATGAAGAATTTAGTATCAGGTTTCTAAAAATGAGCAAGCTTCGAACTCTAAGTTAGAAATGAGCAAGCTTTGAACTCATTTTCTAGTTACACCATCTGTTGCAGCCAGCCAGGTGAAGTCGGTACATGTGGGTCATCTCTGCCCCACCCTTCATCCTTCCATAGGGTGTGAATCATGCCCATCCATATCCTTCTGTTTGACCTTTTCATTTCATACCCATGTATAGCCTTCTGACTTTCTTAATTTTGCACATGACGTGTCCTTTTAAAATGTCAAAATAGTAAACAACTATCAAAGATAAGCATTCAATGCAAGTTAAATATTAGCCTATTTGTTGGTACCATCTGTAATTTTATGAAAATATCAATGAATCCATTTAGTTTTCTGAGGAAGTGTAGGTTAGGTTTCCTTGTTGTTCAAAATGTCCTCTTATTGCAATTCTAGTCTTCTTTAGTATTTCTTATTTGGGCATTAACTCTTTACCCTCTGCAGGTACTTAAGCTCCTTATAATCATTCCATTCATAAAAGTTAAGGAGGCTAGGTCTTGCTTTTATAGGTTGTTGTGCCAATTACACTTAAACCCTGTGAATCTAATTTCTTACGGAGATGACCACATTCTTAAGGAGAAAAGAATATTACGACAAAACTTATTAAACGAAAAAAGAGCTTAGGAACAAATGGTTCATGCATGACAATGATTTTAGCAGGAAAGAGCTAGAATGGAAAGTTGTTTGATGCAATCTGTGAAATTTGCTGAGAAAATTTATGATGAAGCCCAGCCTGTTTTTCATTTGAGTAACATTAAAAGCACAAGAGAATGAATTTGGCTTATTAAAAGATAAAAGAAAGCATTATCTGATGGTTCTGAAATTTCAGTTTCTCCTTTCGCCAGTTGCACCTAAATACTACTGTGTTCGCCATTGAACATTGGAATGTGGTCACAATGCTGGATTTTCACCGTCTGGCTGACTTTTCCCTGGGTTGCTTCCTCTGCACGCTGCAGAACGCCCTGTGACGTTTGGTAGAGAGCCATGCTACATTGTTCATTCCAGGGCAGCGGATTGTATTTATTTTTTATTTTACGTTATTTCAGCTGTTTTCACTTTTTTCTTTACTGTTTTCTTGCCTCCTACAGAGTTCTTTTTTCGAGCGTTGCTGGGGAAAGGGGGAACACTCTGTTATGAACTCTTGATCACACCCTCTCTCAGCAGTTCAAATACCTTCTAAGCCACGTACGTGTGACCCACTGTGGGTCTGGGCCCACATTAGCTCTGTTGGGGAATCGTTTCTATGTTAAAATATATAAAATCATTTCAGAGTTTTCCATGGCTCATTAACATAGCCTGTTAGATAGCATAAGTGAGTTTATGTGCTTCTTTTATTTTAAAAAGTGGTTTTTAAAAATAAATTGGTATTTGAGGATGAATTTAGTTCTATACTTTAACGGCTGATAGCTTTCCGACTTAAAGGTCGTGTTTAAAACATCTGTCACATTTTGGAATTTTTATTTTTGGTTTCCCGCTATGAGAATTTTGGAGTATCTTTTTAGCATATAAATCAGTCAGGAAACAGTAGGTGATGTTGTTATGCCAAAATTCTGACATTCTCGGTAAATATGGTCATTATATCATCCATCTAGGGAAGCTCTAGTACATTTTGAGGGTAGATACGTTAATATACTACAGTCTCCTTGTTCAAAATCCCCATTATGTAACTAGATAAGTGTTATCATCATTAATAAGAGACTCTGAATTCTCATAGCAGAGATAATGAGCACATTAGTATAATAATTACTTGAAACTGATATGAAAGACTCGTCTTGCATAACTAAAGATGACTTGGAACAGGACAGGAGCGTTTAAGACATCCTTCTCGTTGATTTCCCAGGATTACCTTGACTGCATCAGGGACCAAACGAAACTTCCTCTGGGGACAGAAGAAAGATCAGCCCTTTTTGGAAACATACAGGATATCTACCACTTTAATAGGTAAGTTAATACTCAAAAGATTGTTCTCACATTGGAACATGATGAATTTCTCTCAAATGAACGTGGCCTGGGAAAACTGCACCTGTCGTCCCTGAATTCGACTTTGTGGATTTTTGTGGGCTATCATGTCACAAAGTCTTCTATCTACAAGCATCCCTGTTTGTCTTTGAGACTCACATTTATTCAATCTCCTGACCCCCTCCATCCTCCTGCCTCAGAGAACAGACCTCTGCCCTGGCAGAGCAGTGACGTCTTTCTTCCACAACACAACTTGAACAGGGTACCCAAAAATACCTGCTGGCTTCGTCCGCAGCATGCCCACCTCCCCTGGATTTTCAAAGACTTTTCTTTCTGCCTAGGGAGTGGGCAGGACATAGTAAACACACAGTGAATATGTGTTAAGTCATAACGTGTATTAATTCAGATTAATTAATAATTAAAATGATTAATTCAAGCATGCATTCAGTGCCTATGTGTAGCAGAGACTGGGCTTAGAAATTTCCCACAGTGAACAAGACAGACAGGGGCCTGGGGGGGTGGGGCAAGCACATCAGTTATTATACTGTGATACTTCTTGGAAGACCAGGTAGTTGCCAGGTTAAGACATCTCTGGTTTCCAACATATCTGGGTTTGCCAGCTAAGCCATGTCTGTATCCTTGGGTGAGTCTTCAAATAGAGTAGAATAATTAACTCCCTCACTTCCAGTCTGTGCTCAACTCTTCCTTTCTCAATGACGCTTCCCCAGCACCCACACCCACCTTATCTGCTCTGCTCTGCTCTTTTTTTTTCTGGTGGCATTTACCAGTTTCTAGCATACCATATGACTGACTTTTGGGTTATGTCTGTTGTTTCTTTCCTCCCCACTTGCACTCACAGAATGCCCCCCCAGGCAGGATCCTGCCTGCCTCGTTACTGCCCAAATGCCCAAAACAGCGCCTAGTCCATAGGAAGCATCAAACTTGTGTGACGTGAAGGAATGAGTGGAAACAATAGGAATATCCAGCTCATATGATTATTGTGAAGCTTCAATGAGCTGATACACCTCAAGTGCCCTCCTCAATGCTGGCACAGAGTAAACACCAAAATATTAGCCAGTGGTGACATTGATTTTGTTATGGTAAAACCCCATTATAAATTGTGCCCCTCTTTGCTCACTGAAATTGGTCTATGTGGCTCCTTGGGGACAGGATCCACATCTCCTTTGCCACCTTGGAATCCTTAACACCTAGCTCAAGCCTGGCCTCTGAGAGACATGTCTGTTGAATTGCATCAATTCATCGTTTAATTTTGGAAGTCCAGGATGTAAAATATGGCAGGGTTGCAACATTTTTTTCATTTGACTCCGTAGACTTTGAAAACCAGTTTGCATGTGTTAAGACAGCAATTCTCAACCTGGGCTACACACTGGAACCACCTGGGAAGCTTTTTAGAAAACGTATGATGGATCCTACCCCCAGAAATTCCGATTAATTGCTCTGGAGTGGGGCCAGGCATCAGAGTTTTTTCAAAGGTCCTCAGATGTTTGTAATGTGCAGTGGTTGAGAAACTGTCTAGATAAAATAAACTCAATAATAAGAAGGAGAGAAAAGGCATTAAAAAAATGGAATTAGGGAATTCAGAGTCTGCATGTTCGTTAGTAATGTGTTGGCGTTAAAGCAGGCTCCCATTTAGCAGTCAAATCCTTTCAGTCCCCAAGTGGCTCCTCCTTCCAGAGCCCACCAATGGCTCTTTAACCTGGGAAGAGAGACGAGGTCCAGATGCCGGGAGGCCCCGGGCCTAAGCCTTCTGCTGGTTTGGCTGTAAGTTGATGGCAATGACTGTTTATCTGGTGCTCACTTCATGCCAGATGCCGTAGAGCGTTATGTGCATTATCACTTTGTATGCTTCATCTGGGCTTCGTTGACGCCACACCCCAGTTGCAAAAGTTGGAAGACTCAGAAGAACTTTATATTCCTGAATTAATTCTCTGTTCTTTTCTCTTGGGTGGCCTCTGAATGAGGAAGTCAGACGTCTGAAATAAACCTGAGTCAGAGTGAATGAGTACCCCGATGTTACATGAGGCATCAGTCTAGTGGCACAATTGTATGGGACCGTGTTCACGCCTATCCCTTTTGTAGATCACATTTATATATCCTGTGCACATGTGTTATCTCATTTAATCCTCTTAGCTCTCAGACATAGAGCTAGAAATCCAACCTACCTACCCTATTTTGAATACCTGGTTTTATCAAATCCCTATGGTATTATTATTTTTATTATTTTATTATTTATTTTTTATTACTTTTTATTTATTTTTAAGAATATCATTTTGTTTAACTTTTTTTTTTTTGAGGAAGATTAGCCCCGAGCTAACTGCCACCAATCCTCCTCTTTTGCTGAGGAAGACTGGCCCTGAGCTAACATCCATGCCCATCTTCCTCTACTTTGTATGTGGGATACCTCCCACAGCATGGCTTTTTGCCAAGCGGTGCCATGTCCGCACCCGGCATCCAAACCTCTGAACCCCAGGCCACCGAGAAGAGGAACATGCGAACTTAACCGCTGTGCCGCCGGGCCGGCCCCTTGTTTAACTTTTACAGTTGAACTCTCTGTATTATTTTGTCCCTATTCGTTTTTATTTCCTTTCTCTTAAATCTGGAGTCTAAATTTAGAGCTCAAATGTCTTTGCTATTATATTTGATGAAGTAAGAGTATTGATGTGACTTTTTATGTTAATGCCTCTTATGAATCCTTTATTTTATACCCTACATCAGTAGATTTCAAAGCTACAACTATCTAGCAAATCTATGGTTGGGGCTTGAAATAATTTTAAAGTTTCTATTATTAGTTCTGGTCCAGGTTTTTCAACATAATGTAATATTATTGTGACCAACTCAGCAAGATTTAAATCTCTAAAATTAAAGGGGGCAAATAGAAAATGCATTTCTGCTGGCCTGAAAAATTCAGCTGACTCAATTCTGTTTTTCAGGAAATATTTTCGAAATACAGAAAAGCATAGAGTAATATGAGAAACACCCATGAACCACCCCCGGTCTGTCAAAGCCTTTCCTTGTGCCGTATTTGCTTTAGAAATTCTTTAAAGCATAAAGACTAGACAAATAATGTTGAAGCCTCATACACCCCTCCCAGTTGCATTCCCGGCTGGAGAAGGGCACAGTGGTGGGCTGGTAAACCAGTCCTCCAGGGTGAGAACAAGGGAGGGGGAATCTGGAATTTATAGTATTTGCCAGTTTCTTTGTTGTAAATCTCACATCACAGCAGAGTTTTAAGCTACTAACAAGATATCACATGGAATTAGAAAGCGAGGTGCAGGATTGGCTCAGGCAAGCCATTATAAACTGGCTTAACAGACCACTATAAGTCAAGACTTGGTGTTTCATTCCCAAGTATGATTCTGTTGCCATGACTATAGATGTAAGTATTTATTTAAAATATGTACATGCTTTCATTTATTTGAAACATGGAAGAAATTGTGTCAGCCTCTTAGAGTTTTTTTTTCCACTCCCCATTATTTTTGAAATTTATAGCTCTACTTTGTGTCTTTTAACTGTGATGTAATTTCCAGTGAGGGATATATTACTTTGCATTTTATTGCAGTAAGACTGAGCATCTTTTTTTTCACTTGTTGGCCGCTTAGATTTCTTCTGTGAATTTCTGGCTCGTATCCATTGCCCATTTTTCTGTCAGATGTTGCTTTTTCTTATTGTTGTATAAGAGTTCTTGATGAGTTTTGGCTAGTGATCCTTGTGGGTTATGTGAGTTGCAAATCATCTCCTAGTGTGAGACTTGTCTTTTAACTTTCATTATGGTTTCTTTGAAAAGAAGCTGTATAAGTCATAAGTTTGACTACACTAAATAAATGTGCTTTTTGTAGTATGCGGATTTTGTGTTGTGTTTGAAAGATTATCTCCTACGCTCAGTTCATAAATATACTCTAGTTTTTTCCTAAAAGTCTTAAAATTTGGCTTTTCATATATGTCCTCAATCTAATTAAAATTGATGGAAGTATGGAATCTGGTAGGAAATGCACCTTCTTGTTCTCATATGGCTAGTCAATGGCCCCATCACCACTGGTTGAAAAGTACCTGCTTTCTATGCTGATTTGTAGTTCCGCATTCCTCATGTCAGGTGTACATAGATGTATGGGTTTGTTTCTGAGTTCAGTGTTCTGTTTCATTGGTCTGTTTGTCCACACTGTCTAGATTGTTAAGCCCACGTTGCTCTTCTTCAGCATGGGTTCAGCTTTTCTTGACTCTTTGCACTGTCTAGTGATTTTCGTTTTTATTTGTCAAGTTCCATAAAGAGCTGTCTCGGGAATTTTATTGGAATTACATTTAATTGATAGAATAATTTTGGCACAACTGATGTCTTTACGATATTGAGTCATCCCGTCCATAAACATATCTCTCTTCAATCAAGCCTTTTAAAAATGTCCCATAATAATGTTTATAATTTCTCTATCACATTCCTACATGTAACTTTAAAACATTATTCCTTTTGATGTTATTTTGACTAGAATATTTTTCTATTTTTTAATTAACGGTTATTGTCATCTAGGATGCTTTTGATTTTTATATGTTGATACTGTGTCCAATTAACTTTCTAAGCGGTTCTGTCAGTTCTAATAGCGGCTTATAGATTCTTTTGGATTTTCTATTTGACACTGGTGTCTGAAAGTGAGAAATTTTTGTCTTCCTTTATAGTTTTCCTACCCAGGTTTTTTTTTCTTGTCTTGTTTCTTTGAGTAAATCTTCCCATACAGTGTTGATTAGATGTTGGCATCCTTAGTTTCTTTGACATTAGCAGGAATGCTTTATCTTACCATTAAGTAAGATGTTTGCTCTGGGATTTAGAGAAACACTTGTTCCTATTTTGCTAAGGTTTGATTGTGAATGAATATCGAATTTTATTGAATGCTTAATCTGCCTTTAAGAAAATTAGCATATGATTTTTCTCCTTCTGTTCCTAATGTGGCAAATTATATTAAGAGGCATTCTGA